ATGCATGGATGCTGTAGCAAAGCAAAAATTTACATGAATACGTATCGCCCTTTGTAATTGAGTATCTTTATAATCAAGAACTCTAACGAAAAAATGGATTCCGTAATTTATCATCTATATTTCTCATGATTCTTACTCCACACTCTATAATATCAATATCTGTTTCACTACGATGGTTCAATTTCTGACGATATAGATCGGTTAATCCAATAACGATTTCGAGAACAAGAAGTAAATCCCAAGAATATGATGTAGATGGTATCATCATGATAAGTTTTAAAGCTAAAAAAAAATACGCTGCTGATGTTGCAAAGTCTTGAGCTATGGTAGCGTTAAGACCTTGACTGTATATTGACCCCAATCTCGCGGCTGCTAAAGCTGACCCTAACTGAGTAGCTCGTTGCAAGAATTTAACGGATTTTGTATATTCATGAGATTGTAATTTACGTTCTGCGGATTGTAACAATTTTGATACATGTGTGGCAGTGAATGAATTTATATATACATCATCACTATTAAATTCTGGAACCAAAGAAACAACTTGACGAGAAAGTGTTATTTCATTTGATTCGTTTGTTTCGCCGAGATCCGAGCATGTGCAATGCGAGAGTTTTGAACCCATGGATTATTTTTTTCTAAAAAAAAAATTATTGTTGAACGATAAGACAAAGAGTAAAAATGAAAATTGGACGGGCCGATTATAGGTTATTTTATAGGTACAAAGTATGACAATGCAGCTGATATGTGACACCGATGTTTATTTTTGGTGCAAGAAAAACAAAATTACAAAGTTAGTAGTCGCGTGCCTCCTCTGCGTGATGCCCTACGATAGTGATTTCAGCAATTAAAAATTTGCCCTAATTTATCATGGCTTGGCGTAGCTACCTTTACTAAATGAGATAAAGCTTAATTTTTTTTATGGTCATATTTGGCATGTCTGCTTATTGTTCAACATGGATAGTGATAGTAGATCATTTTATTTGTCACATAATTTCCTCAAAGGGGTATCCTTTGAGATTTGCCCACGTATTTCTTTCACATGTCGCATAGAACTTTATATATTACCCTTAAATGTGACGAAATTCAGATATTTTTAGGAGTCATAGTATGATTATGATTGATAAGAACGTACTTCTGGATATGCTGATCTACGTTGACCATCTTATAACCGTTCTTTTTATTAGTTGTCAAAAAGTGCATGGACCTATCCTGCATCCGATATTGTCAATGTTGTGTGAGGTCTGCTGATGGCTTGTGATTTAAAATAATTTAAATATTGCATTACGCCACTTTATTATATTTTTTGAATAAATGCTACACCGATTACCGTTACAGTATCATCATCCGTTATCGTTTAATATAAAATATGTGTGATACGTTACACCTTTGATAAATCCCGGTGCAAATTTTGATATTTCAATGGGCGTGAATGATTATTATGAAAACCAGTTTTAGCCCTAAAATTGTACTATATAAAATCCCCTCTTAGTCAATGAACATCTTAATTTGATGCAAGGCTTGTTCGGAAATGAGTACCATTCATACTTTCTTGATATATAGATGAAAGATTGTAACGGTAACCTGCGGCTACGTAATTTCTTTGATACCCCAGTGTGTTTAAATTCGTAAAAGGAATAAATGGATAAATTTTTTTTTACGTAGTTATTTAAGTCATCGCTGTATATATTAAAAATTTTTCTGCTTTTACTTCTATAACGATAAAAAGTCTACCTTTTTTGTTTGTTTATGTCCGCAAAGTGGGCGTTAAGTAGAATTACTAATATATAATACAAAAATATGTTGTGGGCTTAAATAAATTAAAAATCAACTGCAATAACATATGTACTACGTATTTTGTTACGCGTCATTTTTTTTTAATATGTCAATTACTTTTTTTTCATAGGTTAGAAAACTTTCGTAATTTTTAATAGCGATAGTCTATAAAACATTTATTATACAGTATACAATATACAGTGTATACAGTGTACGTATACAGTGTATATACAGTGTATATACAGTGTATATACAGTGTATACAGTGTATACAGTTTATACAGTTTATACAGTGTACGTATACAGTGTACAGCGTCCAATTACTAAAATTATAATTAATTTTTCAATATTACACTATATATTTATTAAAATTTATAGATCGGTCATTCTTAAATATTTTCAGTATTAAACAGTATTAAGAGCTATGAACTAGCCGTTCTTGTATATTATGCTTTGAATTTTCTAGAATTTACAAATAAAACATTCTTAAATATATATTACGTATTGGTTGGGAACTCTTGAATATTCTGAATTTTGGCGTTAATACGTATTGCAATATTGCTAGTGATGCAAAACGGTTGTATATTCAGTATAATAAAAACCGATTAATCAATAGAGCCGATCAGCCGATTTGTATTGCTTGGCATCAGTTTACACTAAAGATCTGAATTCTTATACTTAGATATTTTTATAGCATGACTTAATTATATTTTTTTGTTATTACTAACATAAGCTTCTTGGCGAGTAAATCGTTTATTTCTTATACGTATAAAAGATTTCTACTATTTTACACTATATTATTATTATTATTATTATCATCGTTATTATTATTAAGTATATATATATACTAATATTTATTATTCATTTAACATAGATTTAACTATATATATAATAACTTAATCTAGATTAATTTTGAAGCAAATCTATTAGAGCCTTATATCTCCTATTCTAGCTCTGTAGATTTACCGTAAATCTATATTTTTGTATATAGAATTATTAATCTTAGCATATGTATTTATAATTGTCGTCCAAATAGTTCTAACTACTGACCCAAACCAAAAACGTTTTATTTTAAAACCTATACGTACCAAATCCCAATTTATAAGGTTGGGATAATTTAAGTTCAAATTCCAAACCCATTCCAAATATCGAAACTAGTTCCAAATCTCATACTTGTACGATTAAATCCCGAATATATGTATTAAAAATTATATAATTTTTAACTTGTAAGTTTTAATTTTATAATTTTTTAAGCATTTTACTATTTTATTACAGTAATATTGTTTAGTACTAATATGTTTATATTGTAATTTTATTCTAAATTATCATTATCTAACACTTTATCAATTTCAAATTGCTGTTCCATATAAAGAAAGTCCTAACAAATTTTTAAAATAAATTTAAGATTTTACTTTGTGAAGTTAAATTAAAATCGCATCTGAATTATGTTATATTCATTATATAAACATGTTCATGCAGACTTTTATAATTTAACTGAGATCTTTTTTTTTTTTGTGAAATCATACGATCTGAGTTCATTTAAAATTTGTAATAAAATTATTTAAAAAGCGGCATTTATAAGGTTAAGATTATACCTTACATTGTTTTTAAGATTTTACAAGAAAAATCATTTATGCAAGTTAACACGTATTTATACATTTATAGTATAATAATAAGGTTGCTAACAAGACAGATGAGGTTTTTGTTAATTATCTTGCAATAAAAGTTTGGATTGTGGTCTGAATTTCTCTTAGAACCCGAAATTGCTTTATAGCAATTAATAAATTATAACCTAGTGTTAATTATAAAATAAAATTATAAAACACTTATAATATAATTAATAAAAATAAGCATAACCACAAATTTTAAAATATAGATTGGAACTTATACTTTATTTATAATTAAACAGGTGCTTTATTGATTGGAATTTATATCTTACTTGAAATTGGAGTAAGTGCTTTATTATGATAATTAAGATTTATATTTTATTTAAACTTGGGCCAAGTGCTTTATTTAATTTGAAATTTATATACAGTACAAAAAGAATATTAAATTAAATTAAATTTTTATTAATAAAACTTTTTAATAAAATATAAATTTTAATTTTTGTTAACTTTAACAAGTTGTCATATTGCAAATTAATAGTTAAAAAAAGGATTATTATTATTAAGATTAGAGTTAAAAGT